CCAATAAGTTAGACACACCTTTAATGTTAAACATTTTGACAAAACAAAATATATTTTCAGGAATTGCTTAAAATAAATAAATATGAATAGATTAAAGATTAAAGTAAAATAGAAACAGTCTTACAACTCCAAATAATGCCAGTGTAGTTGTTAAAAGCACCACCTACTGACATTAGTTAGAATTTAGTTTGAGTGTCTGGGAGTTTTGGACAAACCAAGACAATTAGTATTGCACAATGAGGAGGAAGCGGGCGTGCAGACCTCTGGAGAGCTTACACACAGGGCTGAGGGGAAAGAAGCTCTCAGAGGAGAAGTCTCTATTTCATCTTCCAGTCAAACAGCAAACAAAACATGATACAGTATTTCTACCTGTACACTTTAGGTTACATTTTTACTTCCTCATAATAAAACACAGTGCTCTATATAGAGCAACATGGTAATTTTCATTTCATCACATTTTATGTGTCAGATTACATATTATGCTTCTAATAAACTGGCAGTGAGTTCCAGTTTTAGAGTTTCACAACACAAGCTCATATAATTTAGTATTTTTAAGTTTTTAACTGAACACGATTCAAGGATGGCAAATTTACAAAATGGCATTGCTGACTTCTTTAGTTTTTATTGTAACTCAAATATTCAGCATACAGATTAATTTGTTTTATTTGTGTCCATACAAATCCCCTGTCAAGAGCAGCTTCAGTTTCAGTCTCTCTTTTCATTTGTGACACGATAGCCACCTGATATATGAGGACCTACATTCCAGTGAAAAGAAAAGAGACTGTGAACTAAGGAGCACCAAAAAGTACAGGTGAGTTTGTGTACTTCCCTTACAATTTCTGATTACTTGTCTCTTTGCCTTACCCTTTTCCCAACCCACTAATATATGAAAAAGCATTAATTATCTCTTTCTCTTACTTGAGCAACACAGTGGTGGAAGAAATATTACATTTTGTTACTTAAGTAAAAGTACAGATCCTGGACCAAAAAAAAAAGAAAAAAAAAGTTAAAGTTAAAAAGTAAAAGTAAAAATATTACCCGAAAAAAAATCTACATAGGACTAATATAATGTAAGTTGTTTAATAAAAATTAGTGCTGAGATGTACTATTTTCTAGCTATTTTGTATATTTTTGTTTGCTCAAACTACAAATTTATTAAAAAATAAACCATCAGTCATAAGAAAGACTTACTTTTCAGTTCTATTAAAAATGTAAGGAAGTGGAAAGTACCTGGTCTCAATTGCAGTACCCACTTTAAAATGTTAAGTAATATCTTACTGATAATGTTAATGTTATAATGTTATATATATTATAATGTTAGTTAATGTTATTACTTAGTATCTTAAGTAATACATTTCTTTTTATCAGGCTATATGAAATCAAAGTGTTGAAATAATAGTGAACTTTTGTCCATGTATCATTGACTACTCTAATGTTTAAACACACTTCAGAGAAAACATAAAAACTTTTCACGAACAAGGCAGGACGCGTTTAACCTGAGGTGATCCAGACACAAAAGATGGTGGATACATTAAGTCAATACCAATCAGGTGCATTCTCTGCTACATAAAGTAAACCTTGGATCAACACCCACTCCCCTTTGGCGCCTTTGTCCAGGTACTGACTTTGATCCTTTTCTTTTGCACATATATTTCATCATAACACACACACAAATACAAGTAAGGCCTCAGTCTAGTTCATTCATTTGCTGTTTATCCAGTGCACTGGAAACACTAGAGGCTCAAACTCATGTATTTATACACAAGTGCAGCCAAGCAAAGCCAAGCATGTGCCCACAGATATTTACCCAACAGAACCACTTTCTCATTCCAGTGCTAGTCGACGTCAACAGATGAATTGCCCCAACGATGTACTGAAGCTGAATTGATTACAGACAAAAAATGTGCGTCATGCCTTCAGAACTAGTTAATTTTAAATGATTTACAAAGGTCCAAAGTTACAGGCCTTACCTTTCTGCATTCTGAGCATGATAATTATTCAAGGTACTGAATTGTTAAGCACTTTTGACAAATTTCAGAGGCCAGAGTCTAGTTTGCCATCATGGTAATGTTAACAATAACTAGCATGCTAAGTGCACACTCTCAGAAAATAGAACTCTTTATAATTAGATACAGACAGTGCACAGGAGACATTTTTGTTCCAAGAACTGCTTCAAGGGCCCATATTACACTATTTTCTGATCTATGTTATAATCTAGTTTCCTTGTCAAAAACATTCCTCATTCCTCATCTCCACTAAACTAAAGATAAAAATATAGCTGTTAAATTGAAGATTACCACTACATGACATCACAGTAGTGGAACAGAGCATTTTGTGTCACAAAAGTAAATTTTGCGTATTATACGAGAAATTGTGCTCAAATATGTGGAACTTTGAACACTCTTATGAACAGAAGAATGAATGAATAACAAAATATACCCAAATCATTTCTGCATGGGCTACCCTTTGGTCATTGTTTAAGAAGAAAAGTCAGCTTATTATAGCTCATTACAAAGATTAAACAAATTACATTCAAAATCAAAATGAATTCTGTGTCATCCTGTAGATAATCTCTTTTCTAGTAACTATTGTTGTTGCCTTTGCATCAAAGAGCTCTCAGTAACACCGACAAAAAGAGATCACCCAAAAGAATGACTGTGAAAGCCTCCTTTCGCATAAAACACACTTTGTAGTTCTAGCTGTGGTTTTGGTTGGACTTTTATGGCAGTGTATTTATTCTCGGCACAGGAAATGAAACTACAGTAGCGCTACAGTTATTACAGAATCACAAGTGTGAAGTACCTAGGAGACCAACCGTGTTTTTCAGTGGTCTCCTTAGAAAGAATAAAAAGTCCGCTTGAAGATGGAGTGTAGAAAGCGAAAGTGTTGTTATTTCTCATCATTACAGTCTTGGTGTATTGTGGTTTGCTCCACCATGGAGTTCCCCTCATATTTCATGGAAGAAAAGTGGTCCTTATCAGTCACCTACATCTTTTTTATTGTATGAAAATGAATTATTTAGCACAAAATCCCCCTTTTTCAAAAAATAACATTAAATCAGTGTGGTTCTGAAATGTTTAACACTATGTAAGTACAAGTACAATCAGATCTAAACCTGGTCTAAACTAGGGCTGAGTATGGTCTAAACTTAAACTTAAACTAAATAAGCTCTAAAATTGGACTAAACCTGATAAAGTAGTAGATTTGTCTTTAAATAAAACAAATTAACTGCTGAAAGGTAGCCTGTGGTACAGGTGCCATAGTTTGAGAAACAGTGCTTTAAATTAATATGACAAAATGTTGTTAGAATTATAGTGTGCCATCGAGCACTGTAAACAAAACCCAAAGTTCCTTTAATTTACCCATTATTGCCACTCAATGATCAAAATCAGATCATTCAGAAAAGCGTCTTCCTTCCACATTATTAACCCTGGATTTTATCCTACCACAACATTTAATAATTAGAAAACTTTAACTTCAGGGGCCTTTGAACTCAGAGCTGTTCAAAGATTAAATAAATCACATATAGCCTAGATCCTTCTAATTGTGTGGTCTTATTTGTCAATGACTTCAGGTTTAGACTGGGACAACAGGCTCTGGTTCTGTATGATGTTTGTTTGTTAAGCCAGTTCTCAGATCATCTCCTTAATAAAGTTACTATAGCCTACTTTTTCAGATCCAAACAATACATAACCCTTTGAAAAGGTTTTAATGACACTTGATTAAATACATTCAGTGAAATTTCCTTTAGTAGGTCTCTAAACGGACACAATAAAGTGCCCTTTACAATGTAATGCTTTTGTTTAGTTCTAGTTACTCTCACTGCAGCTATGATTTTTCAACACAGAGTGAATGAGGCTATATTTTATTTTTGTTACAATATATGCACAACACACTGCAGCTTTAGGCCAGTCATTCTGAGAGCTGAGATTGACTTCTTTGTTTGAACAGGTCATGAACGTTAGGGCTCACTTGAGGAGCTCAAGTTCAAGGCATGTCCAGTGTTGATCAGAAGCAGACACAAAGCTCATTCTCAGATATGAAATACTGGCCCCGGACATATGGACACGCACAAAAGAATGTGTCTGAGATTAGGGCAGAAAACCACTGGCATGCGCTTATTTTGGGTCTGACCTCAGGCCCTGCTGCATATTTGGATTTCTCTACTTTGATCATCTGATTTGAGTTAAACTGCGGAAGTCCAGTAAGACCAGGCAATATCCAAACTGGACATGTTGACAGTGAATAATGAAACTGAATAGGCTTTCAAAATCTACACAGGATAGTTTACAGGAAGTGGAGTAGACAAATCTGAATAGTGGTTTGTGTCACTAAACAATAGGCCTACAGAGATGGACATGTCAAGCCAAAGAATGAAGAATTTTCAGAGCTGGATAAGTCTTGAAGTATGTCAACTTAAATGTGCACACGAAAAGTGTCAGTATGGTAAGGTTTCTATATATGGTGTTTTTTATTGCTTTGAAAAGCATGCATTTGAATAGGCTGGTCTTTTCAGACATACAACTTTTAATTTGGCCTGTGGGTGTCACAGGACAACACAATGGCTCTGGATGTGCCTTAATTCAACATCAGTGTTAAACAAAATGCAATAGTGCCCCCTTGTGGATACAGTTGGTGGACGCAAGATTGTTATTTATGCTTTAATGAATTCTAACAATTTACCATGGAACTACGATAAGTGATGTCGGATAACATTACATCTGTTTGCGGCAACAGTCCTAATTTTTCATAATTCTGAAAACCTTGGATTGGTATTTGCAATGGTATCATTAATTTGTGCTTAATCGTATCAATTTCGTGTTTGTTTTAACTTGCATTGCTGCTTCTAAACACACACACACAAGGTTTTATTCTACCTTAAATTTAAGCAAAAACGGGCTGTTATTCTAGTTGTCACAATTAAAATTTAAATTAATTTACATTTACAGCAGTTCCCATGACATGGGATCTCCAATCCAATACAAAAAAAGAAAAACAGATTGAACAAAGCAAGTTTATTAAGTGAAATTAACCCAGACAAATGAGTTTTAAAGGACACAAACATAATCACACTTGGCGTTACAAGTTTGCATATTCCTACAACAGTATCATGTCCCTCCGTTAACCCTGCACCAAAAGCTTTGGCAACTTCTTATGTAAACTCAAAAATTGAACAAAATGTCAGCCATAAAGCGCAAAAGGGACTGAACAACTGCAGTGTCTGGCAGTTGTTAAACAAGCAAAGCTTTAAATAAATGGCATCAATTATTATTGTATATTTATTTTTTCATACCTTAAACCATTCTACATCTGACAATCAACATAGGGTCATAGACCATTTCAAATCAAACGTATGCTTTATATTAGAGAGATTAGTTAGTTCAAGTGTACATCATCTCAGCCATGTGAGACATTTTCTTGGGGATGTACAGATAATACTCCAGGTAACCTGAAAGATCTTCTATGGTAATGTCATCTACATAGGCTCTGGCCTGTTCTGAACATGAGCGGGGGGAGCCTGACGAAGTGGCTGTTAAGTTACTGTTGGTGCTAACAGTTCTCTGAGAGTCCTCTGGACTCAGTGTGGCTCTTTCACATTCAGTGACAACGTTTCGCAGCCCTGTAAAAGAATACACCTCTACATCATTCCAGCTTGTAGGATTATTAGGCAGGCAACAACACTTGGGCTCATGAACGTTGTTTTCTGCATTGCCTTTTGGAGTATCCACACATTTTTTGTGAATGCAAGAGCATTGAGCAGGAGAACCACAAGATGTGCTGAGCTCTGATAATGCTCTGAAGTCAGAGGCCTGAGCCTCTGCTTGAGGTGGTCCACTCTCTGCTCCATCACAGGCACTTCTCTCCATTCTGCTCTCGTCACTCGTCTGCACATCACTAAGGACATTGATTGCAGGGATAGTTTTTTGTAAAGAAGCTGAAGCACCAGGTGGTGTGTCATAAGCAGCAGATGTTCCAAATATCAATGCAGAGATGTGGCTTTGTGCATGTAAAGAGGAAGGCTCTTTCTGGGCCACCAAGGACAGAGTTTCCCCCTCCACTGAGGGACCGGGTTCAGATGGCTCCAGACAGGCAAGAAGCTGCTGTTTCAAGCAGCCACTAGGGGGGGACAGTGCAGATGCTGTAGCAGAACTACAATATGTGAATTTTGCGGGCTGGAGAATGGGGGACTTAGATCTGCGGCGCCGCTGTGTTCTCGAAGCTCCTCTGGAGGTTTTTCTTGTGCATCTACAAATAAAGAAAACAGTGGAAACATGTTCACATACAAATAAATTAAGAGATGTGTTTAAATACCTCTATGCCATGCTTATATCATATGTTGTGCATGTGTCTGTTTAATATAGGTTATGTGGCTGGTGGTGGTAGGAAAAGCAATAAGCTCATAACTCTGCCTGGTGGAGGCCTGGGCTGTGGCCAAAATACCATCTTTTGAGATATAACACTGGATTGGAAGCACCGTCAAATCTATAAGCTATTTCACCTACCCGTGCCAGTTGTCCTTTTGGCAGACAAGTTTAGGTTTAGCACCATTTGTGTCAAGACAGGCACGTGAGGCTGACCTTGGAGTCACAGCTTCTGAGGCACTCACTCCTCCAGATAAACTGTAAGAAAAAAAAAATACACATTGCAATACTCCTGTTCTCACATAACACATTGTTTAGAATTTACAAATTAAAACAGACATCCAACTATACCTCTCTGCATCGACCCTCAGCTTTTTAAAAGCTGTTTGCAGGGTTTCCTCTTCACATTCCTTTCCTCCTGCCTCCATGGTGGAAGGAGGCTGTTCTGACCAGCCACCCAGCTGAAACACAAATCACAACAGCACTGCACTCAATTGACTAACTAAAGACATAACGCTAGAATGCTTGGACACTATGGTGCACATATTTAACAAATTAATAATTAAAAACACAGAAAAACTTTCTCGGGATAAAAGAACAAGTGCGGAAAATGATATAACACTAATATAAAGTTAACACCAACTTTACCATCCAGTTCATCTGATCCAAATTAGAAAGAAAGGGGGTTAATAGTTAGGTGTCCATGTTCCATATACTAATTCAGACTAGGGAACGTGATTTGTGAGTAAAGTAAGAGCAAACGTAGTCACTGTATGTAGCTAAACAGTTGATTTCATAAGAGCTCCCTGTAGGCTAAAGGCTAGCCAGTTGCCTTAGCTACAAGCTAAAGCTAATGCGATATCCGACGAAAATAAACAAACAAACAAACGGTTTAATATCCAAACAAATTACAATACTTACGGTTTATGATGTTCTGGACGCGTTAAAGAAACGTATGGTAAGGGCATAAAGTGTTCACTCTTTAGGGATTGTTAGATGTTCCCAGCGAGGCTGTCGACAAATAAGACAATCTGCAGAGAGTGGCTAGCCCTCACTAGCTTCAACTGCTAGCTCCACTATCTTGGCAAAGACTGGATTCCGTAAAAAAAAAGTTATCAACAAGCTTATCAGAAAAATCCTGAAGGATGTTCAACTATTGTAAATTTCTCAAGATTTGACGACGCTAAGCTCGACCCTCAAAAATTCACCTCGGCCTTGTTTACAGTCGAACCATTTGGAGTGACTCTGCAAGAGCACCCGCTGACGTCACCAGCAGCACAGACACACGTGACTGAAACAGGGCTAGTCCATGGACCTGTGGGCTAGTCCATGGACCTTTTTTTTTTTTTTTTTTTAATTGATTTCTTATGGGTCCTTTATGAGCTCTCTTCATGCCATGAGTGGACCAAGTTTATTAATTCCTTTTAGTTATTGGGAAACAATATACATTATGCTATGTTCATGGTTCCTGCAACTTCCTGCTTGTAGGTGATATATTGAAAACTTTTGTCTATTCAAAGATAGTAGGCTACCTTGTCTTTCATGGTTACTTAAACGATTTTCACCTCTGACATGCACAGTCATGGATGAATAACCTACATAAGTAAGTAAGTAAGTAAGTCTTTATTTATATAGCGCTTTCACAGACATTTTCTGTTCCCAAAGACGCTTTACAGAGTAGGCTACCCAATTCATTCAGAATGATGAAAAGCATTGCATATTGTGTATTTTAGATGGGACAAAGTCTTTAAAATGTTTAAAATGTTCCATATAAGCTAAAACCTATATACATACTTACCACCAGATTTAAACAGGCCTAGACCTAGGCCTAAATGGGTTGTAATACGCTAAAATAGCACAACATTGCTAGTTGCTTATCAAGTACACAAACCCAAAAGAGGACAAGAATGAGGACAAACTGGACAAGCCGCAGACCAGTGGTTCCCAGGGTGAGGGCCTGAACAGTCTTCACCTCCTACATTTCTGAGAGCAGTGACTTGTGACTTCAGGAGATTCAGACCAATTCGTGTGGACCTATTACTTGAACTGAGCTTTACATGTTAAAATCAAAGCTATAATGAACCTTCACACTAGGGCCCACCGATTGAGCATGTTGTGGAAAAATAAGAAGAAGACCCGGTTTTGAATGATAATGACTTGTACTGGAACTCAAACTTATACAGCGAGAACTTACTGTATAATTGTCTATCACAGATACTTATCATGTAGAGCTATTATTGCAAACAAATACAAATTTAATAGTTACAAAAGTAAGAAGGAAAGTTGAAATTTAAATAGCTCTTACACTCATGTTAAGAAACATTTTATAGCTGTTAAGAAAAAAGAAAAAGAAAAAAGTGGCTCAATTAGACTATTTGTTGTCTACAAAGTTCATTGTTGCTAGGCTTGCTTTTTTTTTTTTTTTTTTTTACATTTTATTTTAGTACAATTTATATATATATTTTAATCTTTGTAATAACAGTATGACATGTGTGCTACTGTGTCAGTATCCAAGTATTTTTTTTTAGGTTTAAAAAGAAGCCCACTACCTACTTATGAAAGGAAGCGTCTATTCTATTCTATTCATTAATTTAAAAATGTAAAGGCTCTAAGAATGTTGCCCATCCCATAGGTTTAAACTGTATGGATAAATCAGACTGTAATGTACACAAGTGTAATATAGTGATATGCCTGATGGGCAGAAAAATACCACATGAAGACACAGAGCGGCGCTGGCCCAATCACACTGCGCCAACTGGACGCTGTTCCCTAAATGTTCTATCGCTGTCCAATCACGAAAGACGGCGTGGAAAACTACAGGAAGAGTAAGGCCAATGGGCCAATCAGGTGAAAGGATAGTGTGACGTGCCACCGGAAAGCTCGTACAATCAGGAACGGATGCTATCGTGTTCGCTTTACCGGCGTTCCTCCCGAAGCAACTGCACCTCATGAGTGCAGATTTCACGTTCAGCTAGCTGTTTCCCCAATTGTAATTTAAAGTGCGATTATCCTTTGAATCGGACCGAAATGTTGTGTTTAGGTGGGTTTTCGGTGGCCCTCGCCTTGGCTCTAGTGCCTGGAAGCACGGATGCGCTGAAGGAGGGAGAATGTGAAGGTAGGCTGATAGCTGTAGTTGTAACGGCTCTCTACTACTTCCAACTTACTAACTTGTACTTATTACTTCGTTTTGTCGTTGAACTCAAAATAAATAGATTGTGGATTATTACTTTAGTTTTTATTCTGAATACTGCCAAATAAGTGTGAATTTTTCATTTACAGTTTTGTTTTTACGCTACGTCCCTATTCTCGCCTATGAAAGTAACGTTAAGCGTTTAGCATTTATTTTTCTTTTTGATTAGAAACATTACATTGGTATTTTTGCTGCACGTAGTTTCAGTACTGTAGTATCACCATAGTCAAGCTACAGTAGGCTATTTTAAAACTGTCACAGAAGCTATTGATGGCACTGGACGGTGTCCCATGACAAAAGGGTTAAAATAGCTATTTCAAATTCAGTAAAGTAAATTTTTTTTTTTTGTCTTGTTGTGTTACACAGTTAAACTGAAAGGGTTAACCATAAGTTTGCTTTTCTTATTTTTCAGTGTGTGTGAGCTTTCTGGGAAAATTTTACGATTCATTGAAGGAGAATGATGTAAAGTTCATCAATGCTGATATAGAGAAGGCCCTGATGAAAACCTGCAAAGATGCCAAGGGCAAAGACAACCGTTTTGTAAGTAAACAATGAACAGGTTATTTGAGCGTTTTCAGGCATGTCTTATGATTGAAAAACACAAAACTGATCAGTAGCAACATGTTCCTGCTCAACTGAACTCAATTAATTGTGTGTTACAGGAACAGCCATATCCACAACTTAGTTAATGCGAGTTGCAATGTCATTATTACATTTGAGCAAGAGGGTCTAGAGTCCTGTTGCTGGCTAAAACATTTCTTCTACATGTAATTTAAATATTTTTGATCCAAAGGTCTGATGATACATTTTATGAACTTTATGAACTTTGTTTACTCATTTGTCAGTCACGCTGAAGTCTAGGATGAAACTAAATAAAACTAAACCCAGTAAGTGTGTTCTCTGTTCCTTTGTTGTTTGTTTAGTGTTATTACATTGGGGCAACAAGTGATGCAGCTACCAAGATAATCAACGAGGTATCCAAACCACTGAGCTACCATGTTCCAGTTGAAAAGATTTGTGAAAAACTCAAGAAAAAAGACAGCCAGATCTGTGAACTAAAATATGGTGAGGCCATTTTTATAAGCCTTTTTAAAAGTGTATTGTTTCATAACAATGAAATGTCAAGCTTTTTAACATTTTGTTTATTTTAGACAAACAGTTGGATCTGAGCACAGTGGATTTGAAAAAGCTCAAAGTGAAAGATTTGAAGAAGATCCTGGAAGAATGGGGAGAATCATGTAAGGGCTGCGCAGAAAAGTCTGACTTCATCCGCAAAATCACAGAGCTCATGCCCAAGTATGCACCTTCAGCTGCCAAAGCACGGACAGAACTGTGATGATGGAGCTGTAACTCTGGACTTGCCTTGGATGTATTTAGTGATGTGGAGATTCACAAGAGGAGAGACATTGTTTGATGTTTTCATCGGTCAGTTTCTTTTTCGCCATGTCATTTTTTTCAAGTTTAAGTTTATTGATTTTAATAGAATTATAAACTTTTTCTGAAAATATTGGTCTTTTGGTCACAGCTGTCTTTCAATCACCATGTAGTGTTTGATTTTGACAGCTCAACAAAATAATTGCAATATCGTGTAAACACCTAATGGGAAATATTTGACTTAATGAAACAGTGGTCTTTTGAGACAGAACTGCACTTTTAAAATAGGCACACATGATGCCATCTTGTCTGTCTTTACTCTGGAAGTTTTCTCCCATTTAAAATGCAAAATGTGCTTTTTGTGTCCTTGCATGATGAACTGGTTCATCTGTGGCTGCCGGGCAGGTTTTGCATTTTAGATGTAACGACACATCTATTTTGCCGAGCTTGTTTATGATAAATGATGAATATTTTATCCATTTAAAAGCTTCCTATGGTTTTAGTTAACAAGGAAGAAATAAAATTCAAATTATAGTTTTTTTTACTCAGAGGTTTTTCAGCTCCCTTGGGTCTTTCAGAAGGGCTGCAGTTTGGCTATTATGTCACCTGGCTTTCTGTCTTTTACAGAAAGCAAAAGCACTTTAGTGTTGCAATAGGTCAACAGCCCTTTACATTTTGTTTGTTGTATACAGGATTTTTTTTTTTTTTGTGGGATATTAAAACAAACATTTCAAAACTCCAGTCCAATATTCCTCTGTCCTTTTATTTGTCATAACCACTGTAATATAGATTTGGCTATGCACATTGTGCACATTTAAAATGTACAATATCTTCTGTAGATGGGGTCATTTATATTAAAAAAAAAATTATAATAATAAAATGTGAAAACTCTCAGTTTGGTCCAGCAGTATACTTGCTCACACACAATGAAGATGAAAGAGACGCGCTCTGTATAATTCACAGAGGAGGGATAAATATGTCGTTGGGCTGTTACCAGTAAATGGAATGAAACTGGGAAAAAAAAAAAAAAATCATCATATCACGTACGTAACGTCATACGTCGATTGAACTGCGTCACCCTAGGCCCCTCCTACCTAAGGGAGAGCGCACATTCCTATTGTCCAAGATGGCGGCGTCGGTGCAGAAACCGAGATGCTGACATGTTTTTAACCTATTTTATATTTTTAGTCGGACATTTATGCACGATTTTTCTTTGCTTAGTGGCTCTTTTTGTCCCAGTAAACCTTTGTGGCCATTGTGGTTTTGTTAACACGCCTGGAATCCGCTCTCCGGGAAGGATTCCCATCCGAACACCGAAAAGTTTGAGCTCCATCCTCCTTTGAAAATGAAGAGGCAGGCCGCAAGAGAGACTAGTCCGTCCAGGGCCATTGCGAAGCGGATGCGAGAAAGGGAACGAGAAAGTGCACGGAGAGATGAGCTGCCACCGCCACCACTGGCTCTGCTGCTGGCAGAGAGCCGAGGGTATCACCGCCGGAGCCGTAGCAGGGAACGAGAGAAGCCGCGGATCAGGGAGGAGCGTGCGGCCGCTCTGGAGCTCCACCACCGCCATGAACTCAGCCTCCTTGGACGCCCTCCTCTAAGAACCACCGCTGCGGAGCTCCCCGCGGCCAGACCTGCAACTCTGGAGTACAAAACACTGCTCATCAGTAACCTCGGTTCACAAGTATCGGACGAGGACGTAGAGGACACGCTTTTTCATGAGTTCAAAAAGTTCGGGGACGTTAGCGTAAAGCTATCTCACACACCGGAGCTGGGCCGGATCGCCTATGTGAATTTTCGTCATCCTGAGGATGCTAAGGAGGCCAGGCACGCAAAATCTTCCAGGTTGATGTTGGGGGATCGCCAGTTAAAAATTGAACCTATGTACGTAAGAAAACGTAGTGTGACACCGCCAGAGGTGGGTTATCTACCCCTGCACGCCCCTTACCCCTATAGACAACGCTCTCTATCACCTCCCGGTCCTGGTGTGAGCAGCATGAGAGATCTACGAGCCAGGCATTATGCTTTAGAGACTTTAGGACTGAGTAGAGAGAGGGAAAGGCTTTTAGATTACTATGGCATGTTGGATGAGAGGGGCAGACCCTATGGCTTCCCTCCAGTGCCAGTGGTGGAGGATTTGAAGCCAGAGGACGACCAGCGTGCCACCAGTAACCTTTTTATTGGGAATTTAGATGGAAATGTCACTGAAGCCGAGTTAAGAAGAGGTTTTGACAAGTATGGCATTATTGAAGATGTTGTAATTAAACGACCTGCACGTGGACAAGGTGGGGCATATGCATTTGTCAAATTTCAGAACCTTGATATGGCCCATCGAGCTAAAGTAGCTATGCAGGGACGCTTAATAGGAGGGAACCCTATAAAAATTGGTTATGGTAAAGCTAACCCCACAACCCGGCTCTGGGTGGGAGGTCTTGGACCTGGTAACTCACTAGCGGCTCTGGCCCGAGAATTTGACCGTTTTGGGAGTATTAGAAATATAGACTATGTTAAAGGGGACAGTTTTGCTTACATTCAGTATGAGAGTTTGGATGCTGCTCAAGCTGCATGCACACAGATGAGAGGTTTCCCTTTGGGAGGCCCTGAGCGGCGCCTCAGAGTTGACTTTGCAAAGGTGGAAGAGAGTCCATCCCGTCCATTTCCAGCTGGTTACCAGCCTGCTGTTGCACTCCCTTCCCATTATGAGCTCCTTGGTGAGGCATACAGCCGCCATCGCAGCCTGGAAAGAGAGTTACGAGGCAGCCGGGACCGCTCCTCCCCACCAGCACACAGCCTCCTGTCCCAGAGAGAGCGAGACAGGGCCCTGCTGGACAGGGACTTCCCCAGCAGCCCCACACGGAGCCTAGAGAGGAGAGCAGAGGCATTCGGCAGGAGGAGGAGTCGGAGCCGCAGTCGAGAACGCTGGTTAAAGGAGCGGGAGGAGAGGAGGAATCGTAGGAGAAGCAGGAGCTTGTCCCCTGATCGGCAGGCTGAGGAGCGTGAGCGGGACCGCGACAAAGACAGGGGGAGGTCCAGGCTCCGGGGGCAAGGAGGGATGCTATCTCCTGATGCCAGCCCTGACAGAGCACGTGTCCGTGCCCCAGATTCCACTACCGAACCCAGGGACCACACTCCAGACAGTGGTAGGGCAGGTCACTCTCTCACCAATGATGACGAGCCACCCTCCAGTCGCCACCACAGCAAACGGACCTCTAGTGACCTCAGCAACCACCACCATCGATCCAGTGAGTCTGCAAACTCTCCTGCACGACACACCGACACCCACGCCTCGCCCACAACATTGTCTGACTTTGCACAGGCAACGCTTGCCAAAATGTGGCACGGTTTCTTTGCCCTGAAGAACAGCAGCTTTCCTACCAACCTGTACATGTTGGATGGCGGGACCTCTTTCTTCAATAACATCATGAAGGATAGTTTGAAACAGCTGAGCCAGAACCAGCCCAGTCAGCTTAAGATTGCCCAACGGTTGCGCATGGACCAGACCCGTCTGGATGAAGTGTCACGGCGCATTAAACTGGGCCGTCCGGATGGTTTTGCTGTTCTCCTCGCACTCCAGGGCCCAGTGGACCGCCAGGCTCCTGCCCCAGAGCCCGGGCTCCAGGTGCGTCTTCTCCGCCACCTGGTCACATATCTGCGCAACAAGGAAGCAGCAGGGGTGGTGAGTTTGCCTGCTGCTAATGATGGGGGTGTTGGGGCCATGCTGTATGCTTTTCCTCCTGGAGAGTTCTCCCAACAGTTCCTCCAGGTGGCCAAAAGGACTGTGGGTAATCTGGAGGAGGAGCACATGGTTATTGTGATTGTCAGTGACACTAATTGAATTGTAAATGTAGAGAAGTGTAGTCCAAGAGCCAAAACAAGGCTACAAAATACTTCCATATAGTTTTTAGTAGATGCATTTTATTATTTGATTCGTTTTTGTAGGATGTTGACACTACATCCATGTTTATGACCTGTCATGTTAGGGAATTTTAGATTCAAACTACGAAAGACAATATATGCTCGCTGCACATTTTCTGTAACATACAACACTAAATCTGATTATTGATGTGCTTGTTTACTTTTTCTGAAATTGACCTTACCAAGATGTTATATATATATATATATCTATATATTATATTTACTCAATGGGACTGGATATTATTCCGGTGGATTGTACTGTAAAGATGCTCTAAGCACCAGTCGCCATGGCCAATTGACCGTCCCTGTGAGTGTACATTAGACATAGGTAGTGTTTTTAACTATTGGACCATTCCTCTTAAGTTTTTGTGTGGTATGTTTTTGCATGCAGGAATATGTCTCTTTGGTCTGTTAAATGTAGCTTCCAGTTACTGTAAACACTAATATGGACTTTCTACAAACTTAGTGTCATGGTGCAAGTTGTATTACTATAAACTTTTTATGTTTATTATTCAGTAACCGATACATGACTCCATCCATTTTCTATCCCGCCATGTTTTAGTTTATTATTTTATATTACTTTCCAATTTACAGTTACTGAATATCAACGCCACAGTAAGGGAAAAGGCATGTTCAAAGTTATACTTTTGTGCTATTTTATTTATCATTTAAAACTACAGTCTTTCTCCAATTATAATAATTAGGTATGTATTTGTTAAAACATTTGACAAAACGGATCAAATATTGAAATGAAATGGTCTGTTATCTGGCAGAAGTATTTATCACCATATACAACTTTTGACACTACTTCACCATTGATGTGCCTGATTTACAGAGATGGATGAGCATTTTTTCTTTACCTGAGTAAGAATACAGTTGACTAAACAGAAGTATAGAAATAGGTGAGCAGAAAAGTAATGATCTAAATAATGAAATGTTTTTTTGTTGTTATTTTGCTCACTAACGGTCGAAATAATAGTTCTCATGTACAAGTTAACCACAATTTCTTGAGCAAGCCTTTTAAGTAAATGCACCTCATTACTATGTTGTGTCTCAAAGTACTTTACGATCAATCAGTTTTTGTTGCCCTTAACATAACATGTTTTATCAATACTGTAGCTTTCTTATTTGGCAATTCATGTATATGTCTAACTGACAAAGCAAAACACTGTTGTATATGACCTGGATTATGTGGTGTGGTTTACTCACTAATACACTGTGTAACAAATATGATTTTCTATGAGCCCCCGATTTCCATGTGTTTGAAGAATGATGGTGTTGCCCTAGAGACCACTGTCGTTAGCTAACATGCAACCATGTCAATCAAAACCAGTTACAACCATTACAATTCAAACCAATGTGACAACAGTGTCTCCATGTGGTTTTGTTTCTGTCTCAAGGGACATGTATAGTGTATTGGGAAAAAAAGTGTAATAAAACATTTTATGATTTCTTAGTCTGGCTGTTATTTGAATGTCCTTTGCTGTTAATGCACAGTTAACAGTAGTAGAATTAATCAATAAGCTATATTACATGATAAGAAGTAAGTTTGCAAGATAGGTCTAATTGAAATCACACTTGTTCACAATTAAAATTAATCTGTTCCGGTTAACAGATTTTAGGTCTCCTTGTTTAATGTGCAACAATGTGTTGTAAATTTAGCAATTTTAGGTCTCGTTGTTTGCCGTATTTGACGATGGTGAGTTTTACATGGTGAATAAAATTGTCCTCCACCAGAGGGCAGTGTGCGATAAGCTTTTACTATAGTCTACGCAGATGACTCAGGTGCCTGAAGGCTAAGCTGGACAGCAGACTATGGGTAACTAATCTTTTTCACAACACACAAATGTGGAAAGAGCCTCTGCAAAGCTCTTCAATATACACCTACAAGTCTGTGCGTGGTCAGGACTGTTGCATTTAAAGAAAAAGTGCAGTACCATCTTCAATTAAACAGATTCGACCAAATAATTTCTTTTGCGTTGGATGTTTTTGCTGTGGCTCTGGGCAGCCTGTGAGCTCTAGATTGCCATAACAACACACTCTTTAGATATAACTTCTTTATAATTTTATTATAACAGTGACATCATCACATTGTCTTACAAAACCCTCTGTGACAGGCTATGTTGACCATTGAAATAAATCAAGTGAAACAACCAAATAATGGTCCTAAAATAGAACACTGTACTACTGCTGTACTGTATAGTTGTACCAGACACCAGAAAAGCACGTTGCTGTTGGAATCAATAGACTAAATTCAACTCATTAGATGCTCCACGGGTGATTCCAAGTTTCCCCAGTGAATGCCTTGGATTATTAAAACTCTGCATGTCTTTCCCTCATTATGAAGCCTCCCCAAATTGTCGTCTCCTACTCAAACTCCAGTGCTCCAACGCACCCTGCTGCCCTAGTAATGTTGCAGCAATCCAGCCACATTGTTGAAGGTGAAGGAGCTCCTGGTAGGCTTTTACATTAGGAAATGGAAAACTCCTGAAATATTAATGTGAAATGACAGGTGGTCCAATGAAAGCTATATGTCAGTATGGGCACCGGGTAGGATCAGATTATAAACATCACAAGATGATTTATGCCAATTTCCAAGGAATATAAAAAATACATTACAGTTTTTTTTCCAGGCAGACTGGCTTTATACAGAACAAATTTGTATCCTTTTTTTCAGCTGGAAAAAAAATTATTTTCTCTAATAACTACAACATTCCTTCAAATATCCATGTAACTTTCTTAATGTGAGCTTGGTGGAAAAGAATAATTACAGAGAGTGTTTTTGTAGTTAGGTGACAAAACCTAGACTTTTAAATTAACACTCAATTTGGCATCACCTTCTTCCTGTCAACTGAGTTGTACCCATGAAGGTCAAAAGATGGCCACATAATTTCAGTCTTTCATTTTTTGCTGTAGCCAGTATCCCCTCATTAGATTAGTACTTTGGGTAATTAGACGGACAGAGAACTGAATGTGTGTTGGCAGGGCGAGACAGGGCTGGTGGGCAGATGTACTGACTGACCAGCAAAGGCGAAGCCAGGTAATTAGGTCGACAGGATGACAATTATGTGGGCTCAATGGGGACGCCTGTAACCCATTCTTGATGCATGTCCATTGTGTGGTCATCTTCACCCTGCACTATATCTAATAAATGACGAATCACCTATATTATTGTAACAAAGAACAAATGAGTATTAATTATTACAGATACACATGATGACAAAAGATTGACTCTTTTCACATTAAGCTGGATTCAAGCAGAGTTAACTTCATTTAGTACAAAATGTTGGGGCTTGATGAAGACAGTGTAATGGTATATGGTCGCATTTTTATATAACTGTAAAGTGCTTTGAGTGCCTTTCCACCATCAAAGCACTCAAAGCACTTTACATCAAGGAATCACTCATCCATTCACACACACATTCATACACCAACATATACACAGACACTAGGGGTGAGGTGCGTTACGTGTCTTGCCCAAGGACACAGTGACATAATTCATCTGTGGGAGTTGGAATCGCACTGCCAGCTTGTGAGTCAGTGAGCTACTGTCGCCCCCATGAGCAGTGTAACCAGCATTTTTCTGGAAGCTTGGTGACATCAATGAAGAATGATGAAAACTTTACTTAATAAAACTACTTATTTCATAATCAACAAATAGTGTACTAAAGTTTATTCAGGTTTAGTAACTACTTAATTAATACTATAACGCCGACATAGTTAAGCCTGAATCATTCTTTTTTCCTTATGAATTCTTCTTGAGGTCTTTGTTCATGCCTACATTACACAATTTTCTCATCCATGTTAAAATGTTGTTTCCTTATCAAAAACATATCTGGAGTTGTTTTTTTTTTTTTTTCATACCGACACTATTCCACCTTGTGATGTCATGTGGTAGTACAGGTCCACTGTGTTTTAAACTCCACACACCTTCACTAAAAGCATTTAGGTGATTTCAGTCCTGGAATATCCAATCTCTAATGAACTAAAGTTTAAGGGTAGCTGTTAACTTGAAAACTGTCGCTTCATGACATCACAAGGGGGAAAAGAACATACTGAGCTTTGGAAATGACACACTAATAATGCAGGGTTGCTCAAGCATGTGTGAATGGAGAAAAGACACAACTTGCTTGTTGCTGTGGAGATTGATAAAGTTAACGCCATACTTTTGGATCATTGCATCTCCACAGAAACAAGCAACTGGCTGGCCGTCTACCAGAAAAGGTACATAATGCAACTTTAAGACCAATGTAACTGCAACTGTATTCAGTTACAGTTACTGTTTTAATGAGTGGTAATTGGGTTACAGTTACTTTGTTGAAATAAATGGATTACACGGGGGGATTTTCCTGTTTTCACATTTCGGGCTATATCCCTTTTTTTTTTTTTTTTTTCCCCAGTAATTCCACTCATTGCCGGACACTAAACCAGGTCTAAAACTAGGTCTAAACCAGATCTAAACCAGATCTAAAACCAGTTCTAAACCAGTTCTAAACTAGGTCTAAACCAAGACTAAACCAGTTCTAAACAAGGTCTAAACTAGATCTAAACCAGGTCTAAACCAGGACTAAACCAGGACTAAAACCAGGTCTAAACTGAGACTAAACCAGGACTAAAACCAGGTCTAAACGAGGTCTAAAACAGGATTTAACAGGACTAAATCATGCTGCATGGACCGTGTTTCCTCCTCTTCTATCAATAATATTAATATTATATTAATGTTAATTTGGTTAAGTAAAGTCTGGGCTTTTTTATTGTCTTTTAGCAGACAAAACATCTTATGTGAAGATATCCGAGTCTTTGCTTCTCTACAGCAAATCATGTAATCCAAAGTATTCAGATTACGTTACTCACTTTAAATAATTTAATGGATTACGTTACAAACTACATTTTGGGGTCTGTAATCTGTAATCTGTAGGGGAATACATTTTAAAAGTAACCTTCCCAACGCTGCCAATGAGAGTGTCGTTATTACAAAGTGGTAAATGATGAATTACACTGGTATTTCAATTGAGAAGAGGAGATTTGGAGAAAGCACCAGGAAGATGTGGGAGGAAAAGATTGATTGTTCTCAGCGTGGTGCACCAGGCAAGCAACTCACAGCTCTCTATGCCTGAAATGCTGTTGTTAAATACTAGAGCTGCCTGCCTCTAAGGGGAAGGGATGCTGAAAGATGACAGACAATGGCCAACTTTTAGATGTATAGATATAGGTCCTAAATGTTTATTCGTATAAGGGAAAAGTTGGTGACCTTTTGTGTGGTGTGTGCAGAAATGAACGGTGGTGAAATGCCAGTGCTGTCATCAAGAAGGGAGAAGAGTAGATGCAGTCAACTGAAAATCATCTGGGAGTCCTCTCAAGAATAAATGTGTTTGGAATAGATATTGATTGAATGAAGCAGGCTTGATGTGCTGAGGGACAAATATTTGTTCGGGCTACTCATTTCACTAAAACACAGTTAAGACCATTCTATTTAAGATTTAGCAAAAAATTGTAACATACACTAGGCCGAAATGTCTCTAATATACACAGAAATGAATATGTGAAAGATAAAAATATGAGAAGACACCTTTATTTTGTTAAAAGACTATTGACAATATTAGAAAAAAATGTGTTTGTGATCTTGTGTATAAATTGTGCCGAGCTTTTGGATAGATTTGCCCTAATGTGATTTCATCAATATAGGACTCTCTACAATTCTCCATAATTCTCTACTTCCTGCTCTGTTCTGTTTTGTCTGTTTATGGCACTGCTGGCGATAGTTACACTTGCAAAACAAATAACCTGTATTGTCCATAGACTGTTAATATAAGAAAAGATATAGTTACAAAGTTCTGCTTTACTCCTCCCATCATATATAACTAAAATATTAATCTGACATAATCATAAATGAGCACTTTTATATATGAGAACATCACTGTATAAGTGTTTCACAAGGTCGACCCCCATTGCCCTCTATAATGTCTTATCTTAGTGTCACACATAATTACATGTTAGAATCCATCCTGGTGATTTCCCCCTCAAATTACATCTCCAATATTTTCGATTAAGTGTGCTGTAAATGTCTGATAGGATCCTACAATCACTGGTACAAAAGATTGCACCCTCCTCATGAACTTAATTCTGAGCTGGTGACAGACAACTAGACAGACAGATCTGTGTCCACCAAACCTATCCCACTTCTCCCAACAGCTTATAGAGACTGAATACTATTACAAATATGCAAATGTATACATTTATCTAATATTAATTATGCTGGATTTATAATAACTTCATGAGTAAAGCAGGAAGTCTTATGAGACAGCACAGTGACAGAATTGTAACTGCTGACTTTATTATTACAGGATGACGAATGGCAGCATCTGTTGCCCTGGAAGTGAAATGTAGAACTTTGAGGAATTACTTGATGAAGTACTTGGATTTGGAAGCAGGTGTTTGTTGTTTAGAGCTAAAAAA